CAAGCATATAAATAGCATAAAGTTGATTTGCGCAGTAAAATGAAGTGTCTTGCTTATGCGCAGATTGTTGGCGTAACCTTGCCCCTATGGTATCTCACTAAGGTTAAGTTTAAAAGTAATATTCGTACCTACTTATAAATAATATTATATTAAAATAATGTAAAGGATATATAGTAAAGTAATAAAGGACGTATAATCTGCATTGTTAAGAAAACTAATTATATTTGTCATTGTGGAAACCTAATCGGGTTCATATTATTTCACATTACCACCATGCTTCCCGATTGTTAATTTATAAAATTCTGACATGTAATTAATAGTAGTCCCTCGGTGGATATTTAATAATTCCGACTGAGCAGTTAATTTGTACCAGTGTTTTTTATAGCTAGACTTATAAAAATTGGGTTTTTATCACGTTAAAACCAAATAAAATTTAAAATAATAATATTTATTATTAAAACCCGAAATATTTTTATACAAAATTATTAAGGTTGAGTGGGTTAAGTACCTTTATACGTGTAAAAAACCCAACTGCTGCAAATTACATACTAGCAGGATTTTCCAAATAACCGATTTGATAAGATGAAGATGAATTATTCTTTCAGTTATTATTAAAACTAATAGAATGAAATGACATCAAAAGCGATCGTGCGTTCCCAGTTTTATCTTATATCGATTTTACACATAAAAATAAAAAGTATACACATATAATTAGGTTTTAAATATTTTACAATTTAATAATTTATACACACATCATCATCTGCTCACTATACGTCCCCACCGAGGGGCTCGGAGCCTACTCTAAGTTAAGGGTGATTAGACCATAGTCAACCACGCTGGCCAAGTGCGGGTTGGTTGACTTTACACATATCTTTGAATTTCTTCTCAGATATGTGCAGGTTGCATCACGATGTTTTCCTTCACCGTACGAACGACGGATAAATGTACATATGTAAATCGGAAATCGAAAAACACATTGGTACATGGCAGGATTCGACCCCAGGACCTGCAGATTGCAAGTCAAGTGCTTGACCACTGAGCCACCGACGTTATAATACACAATATACAAAATAAAAATACACACATACATTACAGTAATGTTGAGTCTTTTAAAAAAAAACTTCGGTTCGAATACTAAAGTTAATTTATCTTTGATTATTAAATAATTGAACATTGTGTTTTGGGAATCGAACACGGAACCTGCCTTTCGTAGTCTGACTCTTAAATTACAAAACACACAGTCTAGAGAACAGTGTCAACTGTCACGTAGCCAACTGATCGATAAAATGAGTAAACAACTTTAGTGACGTCAGCTACTTATCACGGAATCTTTATTCGCACATCTAAACACATGATAAAATTTAACAGGTAGACTAGGGATCAAGTGGACGTTATTGGGTGTGATTTACAACCGCGTATCGTCTTCGGAGATTTTGGCCAAGTGCGAAGTACACCGAACAAGGCCGAACTGAACCACGAAGGGTCAACGACCTCGATGCCAACACACGCATAAACAGGGCTGCCAAACTTGCATGTAGGTTCTAAAGGGCGAACGTGAATAAAATATAATCAGCTACCAAGTATTCATGACTTTGTGTATTTATAAGATCAATTGATTGAAAAACAAATGAAAAATACTATTCTGTCAATAAGTATTCCACGAAGGTTTCCAACACGATAAAAAATATATTTGTCTATGAAATTATTTAGACGATGTATAACAATGTGACAATAATCGAGCTGTCGTGAAGTATATTTCGCACACGACTAATGACCTGAGAGGAAGGAACTCCGGACATTCGAACATCAAGCATTTCGGTTCATTGATTCGATAAATACGAAAAATCCTATTTCCTTCGCCTGTACTTTTTGCTAAAGAATTAAATTATTTCCTTACTTATTTTAACAAAGACAATGGATTCTTATAGGATATAGTATATCCGTTGATTGACTTACATGACTATATATACAAAACGATTTTTAGCTTGAATTAATTCTTTAAAAAAATTACGACCGTATGTATCCTACAGTATAATTATGAAAAGGATTAATAATTTATTTAATTTAAAACTAATTATATGGTTCATCAAAACATCGAAAACAAACTCTTAGTCAAAGACGGTGAGTAAAAATAATTCAAAAAAGTTTTTGTTGCTATCAATGGACACAATTCTTGTGGTCAAAAATATTTCACAATGCAATTTTAACTTAATGATATTAAATGGTAAAATAAACACATCCCTACATAAAGCACCCTTTTACTATATAGAGCAATTTAATTCGATTGCTTCCATACGAATCGAGTTAGCCTGAATATTAAGAGTGCGTAGTGGCGCGTGCCTAGAGGTTGATAGGGGAACTTACTAATAGGATTAAAGAATTACAAGCTTTATTTAACAATTTGTTTTACAAGAAAATTTCATTTGTTTACAGTACCCAGCGCTTAAGTTGGCACATCGGGCAAAAGATTACACTCCTTTCCGACGTGCCAAATCCAAAGCGTAAACAGTGGCAGTTGAATTCCTTAAAGGAGTCTCTTGATTCGTCATTTATATTTCATTGAAACCTACTGTCGAACAAAGCTAGCACATTTAATTAAACTCATTGGTCGGGGTCACCGCAGCGCTGGCAACGCTGACAGTTGAAATTAAACTCGTTAAACAAAGAAAAGAGACTGTTTTATGCACCCGCTTCAATTTCTTCTGGTCAACTAAAATATATGTAAACTAATTAATTATATTTACGATATATCACCGAAATACACAAGTTCACCAAGGTTTAGTCTAAGACTAACCGAAGTCGCAACATCGGCAACTTTTTTTTTAAGTAGTAATTAAAAAAATACGAATACGCAATATTGAAAGTACATAGACGTGAAAAATGACACGTGTCCGTTTGAGGTAATAGCCTTAGAAGTTCTAAGATCGGTCCCCTATGAGTTTTTGTATGGGGAGCGAAACATCTGTCAGGCAGGTGCGCGCCCCCCACTTCGGCAGGTGGCCCAATATGTTCGCGGCGGATGTTAACACTCCACGTGCTTCCTACACAATTGTACACGATAAAAACATAATAACCTTTGTAGAAAGTATAATAAAAAGTTGGAATTAAAAAAATCAATTGGAGTCACTTAAAACTACACTTATTATATTGTTTAATCTTTCAGGAGTAATATTAATTAATATACGTCTAACATGTCAGTGCACGATGTGACATGACCACTAAGGAAGCCAACAGAACACTCAACTTGCAATCTTGAATCTCCAATAGGTCCAACCAGAAGATTATACATGAGTGTTAACTATATGTATATTTATTGGTTTATAATATGTAATCGCAAAAGTAATAAAACCTGAATCACATCAAATAATTAAATGATTGATGATATATATAACTTGAAGATATTTTCAAGCAAGTATCAGGATAAAACTCCTTGTATTGAACAGCGGAAACTATTAAAGTATTGATATCTACTTAAAAAACTAAATAAGCCAGACTATTTTCATTCTTATATCAGTGTGGGTAAAAATGCAAATCCAATACTGCTCTTATTATAATTTCAACATTTTTAGCTCATCTTGAGCTGGAATTATATACAAATTAACTGAGTAATTTGCACTTGATATGTGAACAGTGTTACTCTCTTGTCAGTTTCGCTTTCTATAATCTTAAGAAACCTAAGCAATCTTTTATGATTTTCTTTCTAATTTTAATCTATATATAATAAGTATTTAGTGTGAAGTTTTTCTGTTACATTACTCTGTCTGAAGAGCATAAGACCTCAGATGAAATGTGGAGTAACTTCTACTTCACACCTTCTTCTTTATGGTTGTGGTATAACACTGGTAGAGCAGACCCATTTTTTTTTTATAGGAGAAGGGGGCAAATGAGCAACGAATCGCTTTGTGCAAGATTTATTATTGCAGACTCTACCATTGTTGCCACTCTATTACCATGAACACTATGATGCAGGAAGTATAAGGATTCTGTGTTATATGATAACACCTGAATATAAATGTAAAACTCCTATGGCTGAACCCAATAACCAATCATCATCAGCTCAATATACTTTATTACAGAGGGACTCAGAGCCTTGCCTAAGTAAGGGATAACTAGGCCATAGTCAACCATGCTGTATAAGTGCCATTTGGTTGACTTTACACATATCATTAAATTTCTTCGCACATATATGCAGGTTGCATCATGCCATTTTCCTTCATAGTCAGATAGAGACAATAATCAATGGTCAGATCCAAAAAATTCAAGTATTATGTATGGGTGGTAGTATAAAATGATTCTATCAACCTGTAAATGACGGATATGCGATTTTAATATTGGAATTTAAAAAAAATGGATTAAAAACCTTAATAATCAAAACACAAAATATCATTGGAGTGTTTTCTTATATAATATAAAAATGAAAAGACAATCTAACTACATTGTTAATTTAACCTCCTAACTATCATATCTAATTTTGTATTAAAGACCTTTGGTGTACTTGGTTAAAAAAACTATATAATTATCTACTATGCTTAAATAAATAAGTTAAGTATGCTGTATGTTCCTTTTACTTCGAATTTTAGACGTTCACTAATCGAGTAATCATTAGTTTGACGCATAGAAACGTAATTGTTTTCATAAAATTAAACCTTGTCAACCAAAACAATAGACTAGCAACTTGCTATTTAGTAAATCAATGGACACTGCGGTAAACAAAGAAATTTCATTTAGCCTAGAAATGTAATAGTAACGAAAAAATTCAAGTCTGTACGAATGCAAGATGTAGTTTAGCTGAAGTAAACAAACAAGGCTAAACATACAAAGCATTTTGACTAAATTATGAGTGAGTCGCTATGAACAAATATCACGAATTTAAGATATTTCACAGAAAAATTGTGGAAACAATGTATTTTAGAGTTAATTAAGGTTGGATAAACGAGTTTGGCAACGATTTCATGTTAACAATCTTTACATACAAGGACCACGTTGTAAAAAAAACTCACCGTTTTACGACCATGATAGAATCCGTCTGCTCCTTTATGGACCCTATGATTCGAACTATGCTTTGCGAATGACACTAATATTTTCTGTAACACCATGAATTAAATTAAATCACTATCAATTCAAATTACTGAATTCACACATCGCTACAAAGCGATAAATGCACTGCTTTTCATTATTCCACAATCCCCGGAGGATTTACACTTCACTTTCAGATACATGAATTATTACGATGGTCGTAAACTTATTCCAATCACGTATTTAAAAAATAGCACGATTTTTAAACTAGATACTTGAGAATTTGATATACCGCTCAAGGTGTAACAAATCGCATATTCATAAACACAAACTAAAATGTAATCGTGTTTTTAGATTGAGTTATGCTAACTTCGCGTTGGTCTTATTCTATAGACAAGATCAAGATAGACAAGTTCACGCCACACTCTGGCCAACATTGACAATCGAAAAGTTAATTTTCCATAAAGAAATTGTGAACAATAATCAATTCAACGTGAATTAAAAAGAATATTAACACACTTAATTTCAGTAAGTACTGATTTCTATACCTACAAAATAAAAATATAAGAGTAATGAAATCTTTTTTTAGAACAATCCAAACCCAAACATTGCCAACGGCGGCCAAAGGGCTGCAGGCAAATCATTTTTATGGCAACCCTGCATCGAGTACATAGCTGCATAACGCAAGCGGGAAATTCAAAATAATTTATTCAATAATACGGACTTTTTATTATTAGGCAATGAAAACCAAGTGTTGGAATAATTTTGTCGTTGAACAATTGTAAAAATTAAAGACCAGCGTAATTTTTAATGAAAAAAGAAAAAAGTTGGATATTTTCTAAGACATTCAAATGGTATGTATAGTAAGACAATGAATAATAATAGTTTAATTATATACTTACGATTTTATCACAAGTACCGTTGAGTCGTTAAGAAATTGTATAAAATTCATTCGAAATGTAATTTGACCGCTTTTTGTCCTTAAGTAATTTTGAATCTTCGACGTCATAACAAAATTATTACGCACAATTTTAGATCTTTTTCTAGGACGACATAAAAACCCCATAATATTTAATCACTAGATTTGGGTAGTATCTGCTTAAATTTTCACTTTTAATAACTACTACTGATTATGCTGAATATGGTGTACGGGCGCTTGTTTACAATCTTTTTGTACAAGTTCACACGTATCACTGAACCTCGCTGCAGCGGGGTCGCGTAAGCAAATCGCGCGTTCATGTAGCGACAAGTTCCGTCTGAACCGTGTTGCGCTTGCGCATAGTTGTCCATGATATATGTAGTTGTTTATTATTTTAAAGAACACATATTTACATTAACTATTGATATATATGTCTCAAGTCTTGATTTTATATCTATCTTATTCAGTTACAAAAGGCTCAAAGGTTAGTTCATTGTCTGTCTGCCGCAATAATTAGTCATCGTATAATAAGTAACTCATCAGTCGGAGAGTGGTATGATAAATATCTTATTATAAAGAAATATATAAAATCACTACATGTCAAAACATGTACATGTCTATCATCCCTCTTTTTTTGCCTTGCTTGCTTATAGTTTAACTATTAAATTTGTGTGTGGGACACAGCTGAAAGTAATTTGAAACTATACTTAATTATAGGTAAAATTTTAATACTATTGATGGCGGATTAAGTTATAAAAACAAAATTGAAATGTATAGTAAAAAAACAAGAGAAATTTCTTTAATAAAGTATTGCTAATATTACATAGAATGCCTTCTTAATCCACATTAACTTAAAATCTGCTTAAAAACTTAGATAAAATACATAGTAAAGATGCCTAATTGTTACTTTTACAGGTAAAAATCTATTAAGAACATTTGTTCTTAACATAGTATTTACTATGGTAATAAAAGTATGAAAATATATTTAAATTATTAAATTACATTAAAAAAGTAATAGTAAGAGCTAATCGAGATCATTAAATCGTTTTCTAATCGATTTTTTCTATATGACAAAAGACAACCAATTCACAAATCAGTTCCCAATATAGTAATTTTACGCATTTTTTTAATGTAATACTTTCATCAACTGTGAATTAATACATCAAATTAATAATAAAAATAACTTAAGTTAATCTATATCTATTTATACTAATGTAATAAAGCGTAGACATATACTTCTTTGTTATGTGGCTAACAAGCAATCACAGTTTATTTTTTTTTTAATAAAAAGGCCTACACTTACTACACGCTATAATTTTTCACGCTATTAAACTTAGGTGCTAACTAAATTGGAAAAAAATGTTTTGCTAGAATGGGACAAAAACTACAATGCTGCCAACAGCAGCAAACAAGGTTACCATGGTAACGATAATTATTAGCCAATGGCAAATGCCTTAGAACATTTCCAGTTTGACATTTGCTATTAAAAACTTTACGTAATGTCTAAAAATTAAAATAAAGTTTTTCTGTATAGCAAAAATGAGTAAAAACAATCAGATATTAGCTAAATTATTAGAAAGATACTCGGTCTGTAATGGTTGTATCATATTATTGAAAAATGTGTGAATTAATTGAATATGTATTTAACATTTTATCTCCCATCTTACAAAGTTAATAAAAAAAATACTTAAATATTCACATACAGCACAATATAATACATTTAAACTCTATTTTCTTCCATAATTAATATTAAAATACAAGTTTACTTTAAAATTCAAAACGTTTATCATTACAATTCAACTACATATATGAATTAAAAACTACGTACATTTTTTAAAACAAAAATACATCTTAGAGATTAAAATATTGCTTATATCATTTAAGTTATATATAAAATACACTATTTAATTCTAAAAATGTATACCAACAGGAATATTCTTACAATATAGCCCATTTACGGGGTATTGGAGTAAAAAATTATGTCCTGGCGACGAATTTTACACGAAATATTGAAGGTGGGATACCATTACTAGCTTTACCTGTCCCGATGTTTATCTGATGTTTATCTTGCAAATTAAATTTGGTCCTTTTCCCGATTATTTTTTGAGCTGAAGTTTTACATAAGTGTGTAATTACTTTACCAACTTAATGAACGATAGTTGATATTTCAATATTCGTCATAACCATAATAATCATCGTCGTCGCCATTTTGCAACATGGCGGCGAGTGACATCTCATTGTTGACCTCGGGCACCTCCGGCTCTAGATCCTCATCATAGTCATCCGCTATTTCTGAAAAATAACACATTGTAGGTAAGTTTAGGACTGCAGAAGGAAAGCAAGGACGATGTAAATATTTCTATTTCGTTACATGAAAGAGAAGAAAGATATAACAACAATCACTTAGGTACTAGTTTTTGTGTAATCTGTTACGATTTATTACTGCATTTTCAGCATTTGGCTGCCCTTTTAGGTTTTAAGATACAAAACTTAGAAACGCAAACAATTATTGTGAACATTATTTAATCCATACTGTAAAATATATTTAGGTAAGTACTTATAGAATACAATATAATGTTACCAGTTTCAGGCGCGGGTTTGGGTGTGGGCGGGGCGGGCTTGGGGCTGGGCGGGGGCGGGGCGGAGGGCGTGGCTGCTTTATCCTTCTTCTTGCGTTTGCGAGGCACAGGCGACGGGGCAACTGTCTCCTTTGGCGTCGCTAGCTTGGATCTTAAAACAAGTACACCATCAATAAATCAATTGGAATATATTATTAAAAACCACATTTCTGTCTACAAAAATAAAATCAAACGTCCAACGTATTGTTTCTATTAACATGAAATAAAAAAACTATTGAAAAAATTCGTACAAATTTAGCTTCATGGAACTTTAGATTGTTACTTACTCGTCTACATTAACAATCCTCGCGGGTGTAGTGGGCACAGTGGGCGTGGTCGGCACTGTGGGCGTGTCCGGTGCAGAGGGCGTGGTGGGGACCGTGGTGCTGGCAGTAATTAGCGAGCCGGGCTGATCGAGGCTCTTCAGTATATCGTAATTGATCTTGGAACTCATCTTCTTTTCCGCCAACATCTTCTCAATAGCCTCCCCCGCGGTCGCCGCGTTCAATGCTACTTTCTTCTTGTAAGATCCACGGACTTTCTTCTTCTTGCCTTCCTCCTTTTCTTTGGCTCGTATTTCGTCTTTTACTGAGAAATTGAAAATTTTAATATATTTACTGTGATACGGTTGAAGACAGAATTCTTCAAGTAAACTCGTTAAAAGACTACTCGGAAAGATCTTCTCAGGTATCCTAAGTACGACAAGTATGTGCAATCTTACTAATGTTGTAAATACGAAATTTTGGATGTATGGATGTACTAGACAAATCCTAGAACAGTCTGGAAGAATGCATGGGCTACATATTTTTTTCTTAATATCGAGCGGCCCGGGTCGCTGGTAAAAGCTAGTTATTTATAAGATACAAAAAACACATGACGTGTGTAACTGAAACAACAAATAATACTTGCACCGATTTATGATTTGGCACGTCGAGAACAAGAATACTATTTTGGAACATGTGCCAACTTAAGTATACATACTTTTTTGTTCCTTCAAGTATCCAGCATTCAAGTTGTTCCACAGCCTGGTCTTGAGACGCGCCTCCTCCTCGCTCATGATGAGTGAGCTGACGTACTCCTCGTCGCGCTCGCTCAGCTGCAGCTCCTCCGCCTGCAGATCCTTGCTGAACTGGGACTTAGGCTCTGGCTTTACGAATTTGTCTTTCTCCTCAGGTTGACCTAACCCGATCAGCGCTAAATCTGGACCTGTAGTTGATGTATATATTTTAACTGTTGTGCAACGGTGAGAGAGATGACAACGGGAGGGAAAGAGAGAAAAGATTTAACAGACAAAAGTCAAATTTCATACTTGGAAGCCATTACGAGTTATATTCTTGAATACTACGAGGTAAAGAGAAGGGAGTAAAATGAACCTACATAATTAATAGGTACCTAATGTTATATATTTGCATGAGAAACGGTTTTAACGGAAATTATTTGAATATCAACTTTTAGCGTATGTGAGAATTGTCTATTTTATCAATAAGTCTTTTTTGTGTATGAACTTACCGAGTCCTTTTTCAAATCTGATCTTGTTCTGTGTGCGGTCTCCCGTGGCTCCGTCTGTCTCCCGAGCAAGTTCGCCGAGCAAGTCCAGCGTGTCCTCCGCCGCGAACCTGGAGGCTTCTACGTCCTCAGTTGAAACTTCGTCTGAAAATAATGGTCATAACTTTTTGTAATACTTTATGAATCTTAATATGATGCGTTGTAAAAAATCAATAGCAAATAATTTCTCTAAATATATTTAAGTTTGTTTCATGTAAAAGTAAAGACATGAATGTTGAAATATAAATTTATCAATTGTAAAGATGATTTCATTGTAGATTTCCACTGTCAAAACACTTGTATAAAACATATTATCTTCACTCTTTTTATCATAAGATGGCAAACAAGCGAGCGGTCACCTGAAATCGCTGAAATAGCGAAGTGACCGTTTCCCAGAGACATACGCAATTGTCATAGGAGAGGATGCACAGAAAGAAAGTATTTTCCCTTTCCATTCATCCTCTCATCCGGAAAGTCCACTTCCACTCTTGTTTTCTTTAAACATACAAAGATATCAATATGTTTCAATATACATGTTTTGTTAGTGGAATTACACGCTAACTTATCTTTTATACGGGCATTGTTTGTTCAGATATACCGTACCGATGCTTACTGGCGATATAGTGGTGGCGGTGGCAGCCTTCCTTCGCCTAGAATTGTCTCTGTCTAATTGTAATTCTATCTCTTTCTGCAACTCAGTAAGTTCCCTCTCACCGTCCTCTTCTTCCATTAACTGTAAGATAATAGATTTCATTTCTATAGTGTTCCGTATTAAAGTACTAGCTGACGCCCGCAACTCCGTCGTGGCGGTATAAAAAAAACATAATTCGTAGCCTATGTGTTCTTCCCGGCTATGTTCTACATCTTTACCAAATTTTAGCGAGATTCCTACAGCCGTTCTGAAGATACCTTCAAACAAACATCCATCCATTCATACATCCATCCATCTATTCATCCATCCATCAATCCTGCCATCTAAACATTCGCATTTATAATATTAATAAGAAGTAAGATTATCAACGGGAAAACGTTTTTATAGAATCATACCTTTTGTAGTCTTTCCTTATCCTTTTTCCTCGCAGCTCTGAATGCTGGTGGGTCTTGTTCCTCTTCCAAGTCAACGGTCATAAACTCGTCTAGTGTGAGGGCACTAGAGGGCGTCTCACCAAACTCTAGTAACCGCTTCCTAAGCGTCGATTCATGCACTTTGACTATCCGTACCACATCTGCTGGTGTTCTTGAGAAGTCATGTAGACGAGCTGCTATTAGTAGCGCTGAAAATAACGTCATATTTCCATCTTCAAGCCTACCTATGTAGCCTATTACTTCTCCTTATAAATTTCCAACAAGGATTTCACTTGGTAAAGTGAAAGTTGATGGAATTTCGTGAAACTCTTACCTGCACCACAAATCCCCGATGGTCGTCGACCGGAATGTATGGAATCTCTCTTCATCCTCTGCACCAATCGCAATGCTGTCATGCTCACGTCATGCTGCTTTACATCGAACTGCAGCTGCGACGCGAACCGTAATATGTATAGACAGGGATCTGCAAGAAAATACAATCTCTATTTAAAATGTTGAATCTCATACGAAGAGAAATGCCACATGGGCGGTGCGTTGGCGTTGCGGTACCGATGTGTGGTACTACAATAAAATTTACTGCCACACACAAATGTTCGTTTCTAATTAATTCTGAGTTTTCTGTCGACAAAACCTTATGAAAACATATTGACATCTCTATCGTTCTCTTTGAAAAAATTGAGATAACAATTTGTTATGTAGACGTACATATTTCGGCAATAATATGAATTTATTTGATGATGATAATATATTCTCAATATTAGCACAAAACACCTCGGTCGTATATCGAACTTGAGATTGGTAAACAATTTCGAGGTTCAATGGTTGTTGAGGTCAAGTGTGAAATGTTTTTAATCCTATAGACTCAATTGGCGAACCAATACAATCCAATAATTCCAATTACTAATAATTTGCATACTTCTCTTCACACCAAAGCAGTCTAACTTAAGTTTTTTGTGCATTGCATACTATATTCGGTGGAGCGATGTTCTTCGCAGGGCAGCTGGCAAGAGCTGGATGAGAGTGGCCGAGGATCATGCTCAGTGGCGTGCCATGGGAGAGGCCTATGTCCATCAGTGAACTAGTATAGGCTGATGATGATGATGATACTATATTCTCGTATTAAAGTAACTACAATTGTGCAGAGTAATTAACTGACCGTGGGAAAAACAAATCCACAATTCATTGTTTGTAAAATCTAATTTTAGAGATGCATAATAAAATATACTCTAAAAGGAAGACGAGTTTACGATTTTTATTTTTCACTTTAGCGTTCTTTGAAATATACACCTAACCCAGATATAAAACATTTGCATAGCAGCTAATTGTATGCTAATTATTTTCAACATTTTTACACAAACACTTTGGGTTTATATACGCCTACATCTATTGCAAAGGAAAGATATTTATTATTTGGTAAGTTGTGTTTGACTTTACGGCTGTCAAAATGACCACACTACAGATATAAACGGGTAGATACACATCCTGTAATAGAGATAAATTGACTTAAATAGTCCAGGGATAAATATGAATCGAGTGACGTCACATTTTTGAAAATCAGTTAAGCCGATTAAGTTACAGACGGTAACATACCCACAACAATCTTTAGTCTTGTGTTAGGCAAAAATTTAACGAGCAGCAGCAATTCATGCGATCTCAATTCGACCGCAAACATAAAATACACATAAACACAGATAACGTAAAGTTGTTGAGCCTGTGTCGTTTCAATTTCACAAGGATTGCGTTCAGAATATCTCGCCTTGCTTTGCGCATACAAATAACTTGAATAAACAAAATTGCGAGACCGGTATGTGCCATTTAAATGAACACGGCCAAATATTACTGGACACACGACTTACGAAAAGAAATTATTAAAAGTTGACAAACATTATTATGCTACTAATTCGCTAGTTTTAATTAATTGAATTGCTAACTTATTCTAGCCTTTTCATTGATAATAAAATAACAGAAATTTATTTGTAACTTTTGTAATTTGAATAAGATGCCTTGCCAACTTTTCTAGGCAGCCAAGGATGGACAAGTACGCGCACTGATAGTCTACGTTCTAGATTTTTCTGCATCGATTATTAGAAACCCAGATAAAACAGAACCTAATAATATCGTCAGATCACACATTACTCAAAATGTAATGACAGGATACTATTGTCTTTGTTTTTGTCAAAGACAATGAAAGAGATGGCAGTATTCGTCCGATTATTTTCTTCTCCAATACCAGTGGTGTAGACTGAGTGTGTTCGGCTCTGAGCACATTTAAGTTAACCTTCTGTTTTTCAATTTCACTCCGAGTTGAGCTAATCTTTTATAATATAAACGATTCAATTGGACTTATTCGTATTACTTTCAGTTCAAGGTTCAGCATCTTTGAGGACATATTTAAAAGTTGTTTCCTCGAGTGTGTCGCAAATTTCGGTCAGTGATTGTGGGTCGCGCCGTTATTTAAGAATTTAGGTGAATATAAAGCGCCATATTTGTATTGTATTTTTTTTTTGTAAAATGACCTGTTTTTATAATGCAATTTTATAATTTATGTGAATATTTTTTTATGTTACCTATTGTTCTGACAGGGCCGTCAGAAATGGTTCTTGTTATTTTAACACCCCTTTATTTCTCTTAATAGTCACTACACTTCATAGTTTGTAACCTACATTAAAAAAGGGTTAATTCTAACCCTAAGAGCCCAGAGTTATAAGCTATATAGGATTAATAACATAACATATAATATGTTTTAAGGGTTCCGTACCTCATAGGAAAAAAACGGAACCGTTATAGGATCACTTTATTGTCCGTCCGTCTGTCTGTCAAGACCCTTTTTCTCAAAAACGTGTGAAGGTATCAAGCTGGAATTTATATAAAATATTCAGGTCTGCGGTCGCTAGGTGCTGTGAAAAAATAAAACTTCTAAGCCAACCCAATCAAAAGATACAACCCGTTTATGTCGTAAATTTACTCAATTTTTTTTTATTTCTATAATTTAAAGAAGCAAGGACTTTAAAATTATACATTAGTGTATAATGCCATTGTAAAATACAACTAAAATATACATGAATGCGGAAATGTTTTCGTCATTCCAAAGAATTATGTCGATAAATTATTTTTTTATAATAATTTTTGCGGACCTAATTTAATTACAAAACGAAATCGATTGAGTTAGGCACCAACAGCTCAAGACAAAAATATTAGTTTAGTTTTGTCAATTATAAAGGCGAAAGTAACGCTTGTATAATTCAAGCACTTGAGAACCACATTTATTTTAATTAATAATTTAATTTACATTTAGAGATGTAATCATAAGTCATATTATTTTGACTTTCAAATGCAATAAGAGTTAATTAGTAACGCCATAATGTAATTTAAAAATAAAATCAGTTTAATTGCTTCATTAAAATATAATTAACAAACAAGTTAAAAGTCTCTCTCTCTCTCTCTCTGCCTAGCTTGCATCCCACATCGTGGTGGGGTCAGCTTACCCAATCCGTCTCTTCCACTTCGCTCTGTCTATGACATCTTCTTGAGACTTAGCACAAGTTAAAATTCTCTATAGGGTTTAAATAAAATTAATTAACTAAAACCCGGAGGCCTAATTTAGTCCTCTTTCCCTTCCCACCCTTTATCTTATAAGGAAAGGATGGGAAGTGGGAGTGGACTTTCCGGATGAGAGGATGCATGGAAAGGGAAGATATTTTCTTTCTGTGCATCCTCTCCTCCGTCGATTTAAGGTAGGCAACGCATATGAAATTGCGAATGTCTATGGGCAACGGTCACTTCGATATTTCAGCGATTTCAGGTGGCCACTCGCTCGTTTACCACCTTATGATATAAAAAATTTAAAAGTTTCAAAATATACGATATTGGATACTTGTAAGTTTCTAATCAAACGACACCTCACATTTCAATATTAGCGAAGTCCAGACTACTGGACATCACAAACAACTAACATTGATCACAACAGTGAGTCCTAACCTAACTAGTTGCCTATGTGTTCTTCCAGACTATGTTCTACACCTCAGCGAGATCCATACAGCCGTTCTAGAGATATCTTCAAACAAACATCCATCTATCCATCCAAACATTCGCATTTATATTAGTAAGATAGTCATTCTCTTTGAAACAAAGTGATCCTGTAAGGGTTCCGTGTTTTTCCTATGAGGTACGAAACCCTAAAAAAATATGAAAATCACAATATGTGGTGTGACAAATGTTGAAATTCAAAGAAAGAATCATCTGATATATCCTCAACTAATAGGAAGAGACCATAGAGGTCTATTAGAGGAAAATGAATATATGAAACAACCTGTACGCTTTATGTCTGTTTGTATGGTAAGCATATTCTCTGTACGGTACGAGCATGCTAATGTCATCTGAGATCGTGATCTGGCCGGTCGATGGACCGTAAGCAAACGGATGGAATGAAAAAAAAACGTGATTAATATTAAATCGAGGACATACGAGCACCGTCTTTGTTACTCCGAGCTGTTGTTAAGCATTGTTTAGAAAGGAATAGTATTGGTTAACACCGACTAATTTGGATCAATGAATCACCATGCGTAATGATAAAGATACAAAATGTTAAGAAAACTAATAGATTTTTTTTATTTGAACATAAACTTGGCAAAGACTAACTAGAAAAATCTAACAGAAAACTAGCTATATCTAATAAATATAGTAGAGGGAAAGAGATCCTATCTTTTTATCAGAAAAATGAAGCAATGAAAAATAAGTATTACAAAAAAATTTCATCAAAAATTCAAATGCGCCAATCTTAAAAAATCTGTGGAAAAATAATTTAAAATTGATTTTAAAGCTTCAAGTTTCAATTGCATTTTAAACCGAATATGAAATAAAAATTTTATACGAAAACTATAATAAAACTGGGTCACATCAAACAATACGATCTGAAGGGGAGATCTGGCATAATAACTGTTTACACTAAGAAGATAAATATTTCATGGATCAATTGATAAATGATTACAAAGAGTTGTGTTGGTCTTGTTAAGATAGTGACATCATGCACTTTCTCGATCGCGGTCTCATTGGTGACAGGTGTCCCTAGGCGTTTGCGTAACAGATTTGGTTTGCCGGCTTGCGCGTGCGCAGTCTGTCGAGCGCATTCGAGCGCGCACCTTTGCTTTTAAACTTAAAAAAAAAAACTATTGTGTGAGTGAGTGAGTGATACATGAATGTGTCCGTGAATTCTTCCAGCTACAGGATGAAATGAAGGGTAGACCCCCGTTCCGACCAAGAAAATTCCCAGTGATATTGGGCAGATTGTTGCTACGTTGGATATTCACGAAAGCAGACCACGTATTTTTCTTATACCGGTTGGTTATTTACAAATAAGGAAATATAAATATCATATGTCAAAAAAAATACAAAAGATATACAAATAATTTACATGTTATTTGTTTTTTATAAGAAATTTAATGTCAATCGTTATTGTTTAAAAGG